AGTAAAAAACGTTCATGCAAACAATAGCATTTATACGTCTTCTATCTTACATAAGTTCCTTCAGATAGACAAAATTGAACATATTTTACAACACTAGGTAATGAAGATCTAGTTGATAATGTATGATGTGATTGATATTGATTTATTTTTGATAATCGTGTTTTGCTATTACTATCAGAGATAAATTGTTCATCATCAAAAATATATTCTGTATAGTTTCGTTTACGAAGAATTTCTTCAGCTAATCTTTGTGCTTGTACTGGTACAATCATAAGAGCATAGTGACCAAATGAATTTATATATGATGGATCTCGTGCCAAAACACAAGAAAATAATTTAGCTGATGTTAATGACCAAAGATTCTCAGCTAATTTATCAAATTTTCCTTCATTACTTGCTTCTGGCCAACAACGAATAAGAATAATTCGATCAAGTAATGTTGTCTATATCAAATATCTTATTTTGAAGAAAAAAAAAACACAAAACAATCATAATATTTCTTACTAAAGTAATTATATAAATATCTTTATCAGCTGTTCGTTTAAGAGTAGCAAAATTATTACAATTTTTCCATTTTCGATTTTTATAACCAAGTAATATAATTGGAGCATTTTCATTTTGAAATCCATCTAATTTCCAATTAAATAATGATTTTCTTGATGACATCGATTGTGAATTATCTTCACGATTAATATTAAATTTTGGTTTAATGAAATGTTCTTGATTATCTGCTTTAATTTGTTCAATAACAGCTGCTATACTTGGTAAATGAGACATAACTGTTGGTGATGCTAACCTATTACTTGATGTTGGAGTAGTAGCTAATGAACCACCAGCTTCATCATATTTTTCTTGTTCGAATTTTTTACGTTGTAGAAAAATTTTTTCTATAAAAATAAATTTTCAAATTAAAAAAAACAAACATTCAAATATTTCAATACGTTGTGCTTTTCGTCGTCGTTTTTGTAGATCATCATTAATTTCACTAAATAAATTAAAATATCGAGTTAATGGAATAGTAATGGATATGTTTCCTTCTGTTTTTGTTTCTTTATACCATTCAAATTCAATTAAATCCGAAGATGCTAATATTTGATCTTCGCTTTTTAGAACTTTCCAATAAAAAGTATAGAGATAGAAATAAGAAGAAAGTAGAAAAAGAAATATTTTCATACCAGTCATACATCGAATTAGTTCATTATTGAATGGTATAATACGAACTCGTGGCGAACGAATAAAATAATTTTTAGGTGTTTCTATTCGAAATATTGATGAATGTGCACTTGTATATACGAAATATGAACCTATTTTACAGACATTTATATCATGTAAAATGCTACACACTTCATCCTCGAACGTTCTTTTGCAAGTCCCGTTGGATCTACAACGTCGTTTTTCCTTCTCTTTCGATTTTAATATGAATGGATAACAGTACATGTAAGGACATTTACTGGCTTGTGCTGTAGACAGATTTCTAATTCTAGTTTCCTTCATAATACTTTAACAACACACTGTTATCATAATCTCTTTAAAAAAATATATTTTATATGACAAAAAAATAAATACAGAGACCGATTGTGTAAAAGTCCAAGGTCTTTCTTCTATATGTATCTAAAAGGTCAAATGCTTTGGTAGTCTCATCGATGATTCTTAGTTTCAATTTATTTTCACCCAATGCATCGTTAGTAAACTACCTTATTTCATCTATCCCATGATCGTATAAGCCGAAGGAAGCACATAATATCCTGTAAAAAGATAACAAGGAAAACAATCGTTGATGAGAAGAGTGTTCTTAGAACAATAAAGTCAACATGCCCTAAAATCTTGACATTCCCAAACTATAACTTCAATGAATACAGTTGCTTATTTCAAAAAATATCTTCGCATCTTTTCGCGAAAAGCACTGTCAATAAATAAACACATCTTCTTATGTTTTTTATTATTATAAAAAAATAGTATATGTTTATTTTTTGGGTCACATAAGTATGCGTCAATCCCTCTGATTAAGTTTAACACATGAGAAAAAGTTTTGCACATGCGCAATATTTTCTGTATCCAACTCGTTAGTATAGAAATATGTATTATACAAAATAAAATAGAACTTATTGGCCATTCTATAGAAAAAAAAATGTTTGCTAATTACATCTAGGTATCACGTCAGTCGTCTTTGTATTTATTTTCGTTCTCTTTGATTATTTTTGTATATCTTAAATATGAAAAGATCAAGATTTTTGTGTCCGATTTACTAAATCTTAAAAATGAAACAGCCAATAATCGTTTAATATTGACTAATTGATCTTTAGGGAAAATAGAATGTTGATAATACAATAGAAAAGCTTACTATCATGTACAACTTGTAAAATTTCGAATGGATAGAAAAGAACAGCTTCTACAGAAATGGCACTTAACGATTGTGTAATACGAAAAACAGCATAAGAAACATCATTATATGTTTCTATAATTGCTGGAATATGAATTAATGGATCCATGATGCGTTCTAAATAGATCAATATTATTTAGAAAAATTTTATTTTTGATTAAAAAAAAAAATTTACTGCATCGAATATAAATTTGTTGTTGTGATTGTGATGATGAATTGGTTGATTTTACTTTATAAGGTACAGCAAAACAAGGTAATGCTATTGTTAATTGATCAATAGAAGTAATTGCTCGTTTAAATTCAATATCAAATATATGTGAATATTTTTCAGATGCATTATAATTAATTTGTGATAATAAATGTTTTGAATTTTCTGTACATATAATATGTATATCATTTTGTATTAATTGTCCACGAAGACAACGAATATAAACATTTTGTTTGATTGTTGTTGTTGTTATTTCATAGACAAATGTTTCATATAAAGGATTCTTATTAAATATATTTGTTGGTAAACGTAATGATTGTTCAATTTCATTAAAACATTCATTTTTTGATAAAACTGATTTCATTAAAACATCATTTAATGTTGCTATTTTAAGTCGAAGTTTAATTGCTTGTTTAAATAAATTCATTATTAAACGAGAAAATTCTAATCGATGTTTATAATTATCTATTAGATTTTCATCGAATGTTGTTAATTGTTGATCAAGTAATGCATTAGCAATATTTGTTGTAATTGAATTTGAATCTGGTGCATACAATGTTAACATTTCAAATTCATGATAAGTGAAAGTATTTGTATTTTGACGAATATTCATTGCTGAAACAATGAGAGATCGACAAGTATCACAAAATAGACTTAATTTTTCACCAATACTTTTTATAGCAATTAATTGACTAAAAGAGATGATTGATAAAATTTTGAAAATGATTCATTATGAATGTTTGATAAAGAGAGAAATGATTTACTTTTGAAAATGTGTTGTTATTTGTTGAGCTCGTTCACATTCGATTTCTAAATATTTTAATTTTTTATTTAAATTATTAAGTATTAAATCATAGTTATCATTGATATCAAAAGATTTTATATTTGTTATAAGTTCTTCAATGAAAACATTTTGTTCATCAATAAAGATATTTTCTTGATTTATATCACTATGAAATCTATGTTCTTGTACTTTATGATTACTTTCAATTCGTTTTGTTTCAATATCATTATTAGATATATTTTTTCTTATGTTAATATCTGCATCTATTGATTGAACATTTGGAATTAGACTATTTGATTGAAATAATGGCTCAAATGTTTGAGGAAGATTATTTGATGATTGATTAATAGTTTGAATATGTGTTGATGATAACAATGGTTGTACAACATCATTATTAGCAAGAGTATTTGATTTAGTATAATTATGAAATTCGTTCGATTGATTATCCATGATCCTTTCTTTCTTTCTTTTTTTTTATTTTATTCGATTTACTTGCGTATAAAATAAGTAAAGAATTTAATAGGCGCTTTTTTTCCTTTTTTTTATTTAAATTATATCCGGTTTTTTCCTGGCCTCGGATTACAAATTTTCGAAATTATAGGAATTCCTATATAGGATTTCGTTTTCTGAGTTTTACGATTATTTTCATTAAAAAACTAACCGAAATTTAGGTATTGTACGTCGAGCCGTACCTCAAATATATATGCTTTACCGCCAAGAAACACCTATTCTCAACTCCTAAGTTTTTCGTAAAAAGTGATGATCAGGGGGGGGGGGCGGGGGTGGCGCCGCGAAGACTCCTGTACTCCCTCTTAGGGCACAGCCAAATCTTGTGAAATTATTCCAGTGTTTTTGATAAAATATAGGAATAGCGATTGAAATATAGGACACCATATAGGATTTTTCAAAAAAATAGGAATTATAGGACGAATCCAACCCCAGGTCTGCACTCAATTTGGTTCAAGGTTGGGTGTGGGTGTAGGTTTTGTCGCCACCCTAACGCACCTCACACCCACACCCTTATAGTTGATCTTTCATGCGTTTATTTGTGTTAAACGAAATAATCGTGAAAACGGCTCTGCTCGTTGATATCAGATGTTGGAAGGATATGAGTTCGATGATCAAGATTTAAAATTAATCGGAGCAAAGTTGTTTTCACCCTAAATTAAACTTGCAGCTTTGGTTCAATATTCGAACAACACTTTAGTCTCATTTGATTTTTGATAGCTAATAAGTGTGTTTGTGAAGAGAAATTCTTTCTTTGCTATCGCATCCTCTTCAGCGAAAAAATAGCCGACAGGGTTAGAGGATATTGCTACTTTTGATAAGCTGTTTTCTCAAGCTTGACTATATGAGAAAGTTTCTCTCTGATACTGAAAGATTACTTTGATGCTTCTTTTCGACTACAGTAAGCGACTCGCTAGTAAAACGAAAATTAGAATATAGGCTGAGTTTCAAAAGCAGTAAGGATCTCTGCTTATTTTGATTCAAAGAGATATATTAATTCTATACATAGTTGTTGACTTTATTCAAATAGAGCTCCTAATTGATCAAACGTTGCCTTGCATAAGCAGCTGAATAAACAGAATCATCAATAACTTAGCAATAGACTCCAAATCATTGTTTAACTAATCATGATATGCTCCTTGATCCTTTCTATTCAAAAAGAAAGGATTCTAACTTAAAATAAATTTAAATGTTACTATAAGCTTCATTTTACATTTTCGATTACAATGCTGATCAAATATCGAATTGAAAATGTTGCATATTGACATTGGATTTTTGATAAGTGATCGATATTTTTTAATCGAATGTATTTGTCTTTTTTCACTTAACTAAATGACAGACTGTTTATAAGTGTTCGTATTTCTTCTTGCCTATTAACGAATATTTGGATTTCATCCATAAATAGATCATGCAAATCAACTAGTATTGCATTTTGTATCTCATCTATTATAGATTCATATTGATGTAACTTGTTCCGAGTCAGTTCACATATTAATGCTTCATTCTGTTTTCTCTTCAATATTGATTCCTCTATGTTCCCATTTGGGTACACTGAATGAATTTGTATTTCATCTTCGCTTATTGTAACAGAATTTCGTTCGTAAACTTGTATTTCTTTGACGAATTTCGACGTCCATTTACATATTTCTGCTAATATGCTTTTCCGTATTGCAACTTGTACGGTAGTATTGTTCAATATATTGTCTAGAATTGGTTTATACTTTAACTCATCAAAGAAATTGAATTCTTGACTGTGTATTTCCGATGGTACTTGTTCTAACACTGTGTCTAGACAATATTTGTACATATTTTCTAATATTTTTTGATGAAAATCTTCGAAACATTTATCCGTATTGTACGATTTTTTACGACAATCACTGAAAAAGCTAGAATCTATTTTTGGTTTGAGGTTTATCACAAGTTTGTTGCAAGAACAGCGCCTGAAAGTCAAACCCAAACGACGAATGATACACAAATGATGATCGACATTCCAAACATGAAATTTACAATTATTGATGAACGTATTCAAATTCCACACACAATACTTTTCTTCATGAGGATTAATATGAGTGCTTGTTGTGATCGATGATTCATGTATTTTGTTTTCTGTTCTTTGTTGTAGTCGATTGAGACATTCTAATAAAGATGGACAATATATAGAAAAGCAATTTTGAGCAATTTTATGTACATGATAACGAAGATTTGTTTCAAATAATTCGTGAGCACTAAGAATAAACATGATGAACCAATAGATCTGATCGATCACTTGACGATTTGTAAAATCATATTCTTCTTTTGTCATAGCAATGGCAAATCGAACGGCCATATCTTGCATATCAGATGGTCTACAAATAAATTGATATAGATCTAATTTTTCACCGAATTCGACATTCCAAAAGAAACTCGAATTGACTTCTTCAAGAGTTGGATTTCTGTCAGGTCCCATGGCAAGAAAATCCATAAGAGCAAGAACAGCCAAAATATTATGATGTTTAGGTAGATGAGTAAATATTTGTCGTATCGAATGAAATGAAATTGAATCCAGGATAAATAGAAAACCTTGCCAGTCGATGCGAGGATCAAGTAAATAGTATCCTTCATCGGTTTTGACTGAATCGAAACTAAACCCAGCAGAGACTAATGCAGTCAAATATGGAATTTTTCCGATTTGATATTCATTCAATGTCACAAGTTGACCTGAACTAAAACGAAATGTTTTTGTTGTTGTAGATGACTCATCAATATGATTGTCCATTGATCATCTATTTTCAAAGTTTCAGTGCTTAAGTAAATTTGGAAAAAGAAAGAAAGAAATGCAGCATCAAGCGGATTTCATTTGCAAATAACAATGTTACCTGATTTTTTTTCCAAGGAGTGTAAGATAAAAAAAGAAACTTGTTCTCATTTCAATATGGGTGAGTAATAAATTGTTAAGAATGTTGCGTTCTTATCTTTTCAGGTAGAAGTTGAAAATATCCAAATGAAGTCAACTTGCGTATTTTTTCTAACATTTTCAGTTTTCGTCACCTAGATTTCTAATTTCTGTAACTATAAATTGCTATTGCTCAGAGTTGTACAGTTATAAAGTATGACATACAACAGCGTACTAGTTAATCGAAAAGAAATGGCACTTCTAATTAGATAGATGTTATGATATATATTCTGGGGAGAATAAGAAAAGTGTTTCGTTTTTTTATTTGATAGTACAGCCAAAAAGTGAGTCATTGTTGTATTTTTTTAATGATCCTTATCATGACGTATCATAAAAGCAAACAGACAAGTGAAAAAAAGAAGAAAACATCTGGCTCGATATCGTTTTATGAGAAATGATGAGACAGATTTACGAGATGCTTTTTCTTATTGTCAATATACACTCCAAAACATCTGCTTTGACCTAATTTTTAGCTCTGATAACTGAAAATACATCTTTTTTCTTAGAAACTGTCTATTTTGTTTTTTTTTGTTCGCAAAACTTGAATAATTGCCCAAAAGTTGATCGCGCACTTGTGATGTTGAAAGATGATTGTGATCTGATTACATACTTTTCTATCTTGTTCGACTTTCGTTATATTGATCATCTAGATCAGAGTTGGAACCGGTCCGGTCCGGCCGGACCGGACAAGATCGAATAAGAAGTTAAACCGGGCCGGACAGAACCGGATTTTTGCCAGTTCATCATTACAAAATTGTTGTTTGCATCGAAGAATTTTCTCTACTGAAAATGGTTTTTTTATGATATTTTCAAGTCAGAAGAATGTGCTTGCGAAAGACTCAATAGATATCTTGCCTTCGACTTGACTATAAACGATTGATTGTTCTCTTTATATCTCTATCGATTTCTTTCTCGTGTATCGCTCAATTTAACCTTGATCAAATAATTTATTCTCTTGTTCTACTTAGGCAGCTGCCTGAATCAAGAAAAATAAAAATTTACATTTTTATGTTAGATGTGTTATAAACTTGCTTTTTTTTTTCTTTTTTGAAATTAAGATGAAAAACAGATTTGATCTGAATAGCTAATTTATATCGATGTCGGGCTCGAAAAGTCGACGTACCTTGCTATAAAATATGAAGGGAGAGTTTCAGTCCCAAGTTTTAGTTTCCAGTTCAAATTAAGGGTGGCGATTTGCTGTTAATTTATTATAATTTTAAATTGGATTTACATAAATTTAAGTTTATGTAAATCCAATTAAAATTCGAAATAAATAAAACTTTTTAAAATTTATTTTTAATTTAAATTTCTTAAAATTTATTTTTGGATTTATAAACTTTTCGTAAATGTAAATTGATCACCCCTAGTTGGGATTTCTGCATGTGAATATTCAATTCCTCTTCGCCAACATTTTATGTTAACAGATGCTTTTATGGTCGGTTATTTTCGCCGGATTTTTGCCAGTTTAGCTGTAAAATTCGTTCGGCAGGTTGCTGACCGGACCGGACCGGACCGGACAGAAAAAACCTGTCCGGTTCCAACTCTGCATTAAATGTTTGCTGTCATCATTATATGGTGAATCATTTAATTATCTATATATCTTCCAAAGTCTATACAAGTTTTTAACAGCTAAAGAGCAAATTGAATATGGAACGACGCCCTGAACATATTGTTTGATCAATGTGCGAATCACTGTAAGTTCACGTCGAAGTATGTTTTTAAATACGGACAATATAGGTTCTATTAGTTGTTGTAACAAAATCACCGACATGCATATCCTTAAGAAATTAAAGGATCATGATATCGAGCTGCACACGATTTCGAGTGTATATTATAAAAAGGATTTGGTCTATACCTCTTTCGCTTTATTTTTTCGACTACAATTTTTAACTGCATTTTTTACATGATTGTTATCCCTCTCTCATTAGTATATTTTGACTGACTCTTAGTGCTAGCAAGTGCAGACATAAAAAATGTGCTAATAACGATATTTTGCTTCTTTCTTTTTGACTGCGCATTTGATTGACAAATGTCGCAGAACGTATACTCAACATTCTTATCTCTTTCTTCTTCTCGTCCTTGCGATCGTTCTCTACTTCTGTTATCACCATGCTGTCTGACATAAAAGCATGTGCACGCTATGTGAAAGTTATAACCTATAAGGTGAAACCTGCTAAATAAAGCGTTTATTGTATGGTCTAGAAATTACTTTTTAAATTTGTCATAATGGGCAATGAAAAAACAAAACAGAACGAAGCTACCAATATCTGTATGATTCAATCATTAGTCATAATTTTCATAGTTTGTTTTATTTTGATAGTAGGCACTGATCTTTAAGGCTCATCTATAACGTGGGCAGTGTTGTCATCAGCTCCAGAACAAGTAGCAATAGATGGGAATGAATATCGACTGGAAACTCAAATCTGGCGCGATTTTATGCCGATATGTGAACAGTCTGGTCGTCCGATGGTAGCCATATTGCGTATCAAAACTGTTGACTCAAGTCTAGTTCCATCAGATGTTAAAGTCGATACAGCATGGATCATGTTAGGCAACGATAACCAAGCTCAAATTTGGAAGGCACATATTTTAGAAGAACAACCACGACAATCTGACGTTAATCGCCATTATATCAGAGTCATTGCTCGAAATGGTCCCAAGTGGGGACCGAATGTAAATGTAGACGTTGTTGTACAGCTGAGTAATTCGAAAGGACAAACTGTTCTGCTACAAGCTAAGTGTCAAGGCATTCATCGCACAGAATGATTTTTCATAAAGGTCCTAAGTTTAATCGCATTTAAGGATATTCCCTCTCTTGTTGCTCACGCAGAATACTCGAAGAGGGTACAACCAATTCGCTGAAAACTCTCACCACTGATAGAGCACATAAGGATGTGGATGTGATGTGTCGTGTGTGAGTGAAATATGGGTGGATGTGGGAGTGAAGCTTCTTTCCATTGACACCCTCATTCATGCTGTTTATCTATGATTATTTTGAGGAGTTTACACGTTCAACAAATCCATCGTCGATTCTTTTGTTGATGTTAATTGTTATTCTTAGTACACTACTCTTTCAATGACGGAGCTAGTCGTAGTCTATCACTCGAGCAACATCAATCTCAAGGCGATGATTGATCAATAGTATGTTTGGTGGATCGTTCTTGAATGTACATGAATCATTAAAACAATCTGTGGCCTCAGTTGTTGCACCTTGTAAAAGCTTTAAGCCAATTAAGTTTTCTGTGTTCGTCTTCTTCTTGCTGAACGTAATTGAATTGAAGGTTGCTGATCCATTACTGTGGTGTCATTCAATTATTGTATGTGGCTCATGTAAATCCCACTTGATTCTTTCTCCTAGTATTATTTTGAGTGTGAATCTTTCTAAATCGACCTTATGTCTAATATCCATCCATTGCGGCGAATCAATCAATACTAGTGTTTCATACGATACGATTGAGAAAAAGAGTGTATGGGTCGTGATGTGCGCTGATATGCATGGATACACGTGCGCGCACATTATCCACCACACATATATTCACACACCGATGATCATGTATATATGCGATAACGAAAAATTGTTACGCGATCATGTACTTAGCGCATTCATGGATGCTAGAAAGCGGTGTGAAGATGGAGCCACAAGTAGGAACAATTTTAGAAAGTATCGTATTTTTGTTACTCAAACTCATAAAACGAAATAGACATTTATTTTACTTTTCCAAAATTGATTTGTTAACGCTATTCTAGGTTTGTGGAGTGATAATGAGTATGTATGGATGATTGTTTGGAACCAATAGAAGGAAAGAAATGAAACTTGTTAACTTTAATTTAGCCGTATATGGTGAATCCATTTACGGTATCACCCCTCGATAATTCTTATACAAAGTAACAAAAAATTTACAAGAATATACGGAGAATTAGAATCTATGACATTTGATTTTTTTTTGAATTTGTCAATGCAATATTGATATTATTCTATGTTGTCGGAGTGGATTATTTTAGCTAGATGAGCGAATGTTTTTTGCATATTGTACGAAACAAATAACAATAAACCGATTCTTTTAATTATAAATAAAATAGAAATTGTTTGTTTCCTATTAAAGATGAATATTGACGATAAAAATCGATTAAAATTAATTGAAAAAATTTTTACTCGCTTTTTAATTCAAACTCAATCCGAGAGTCCTCAATTATCTCGTGATTATTTTGAACGATTTACACAATTGTTAAATGAAACTTTTCAAAAATATTCACAATTAAAATCATCTATTGAAACAATTATTTCATCAATTATTCATCCTTATGATTCAACAAATATTGTTACATTTGAATATCAACTTCGTTTAATACGTTTTTCATTACGTCAGCATTTACAAATATTAGAATTAAATACAAATGATTATCTTCATAAACTTTTTCATCATAAACTTTTAATTTCTTCAAGTATTGTTCGTCATTTATCATTACAAATAGCTATTTTAATTTATGAACATAATCTTTATCAATCATTTGATGAGAGTTTTTTTTCACATATTATTAAACTTTTTTCTCCAGATCCAAATCTTTATGTATGTAATACTCTTGCACAATTTTTAGCATTATATATTTCTAAACATGATCAATATGAGTTACTTAATCAAATTCAAAAACAATCTCTCAATTCAGATCTTATTTATAATATTTTAATATTATTTGATGATGATAAACAAGAATTATTAATTAAACAATTGAATATCTATGAAAATCTACCAGATAGTACAGCAATACGTGCTTTTGTTTTAAAAACAGCTCGATATACAATCAATGAAGATCATCTTATATAT